TTATCTTGAGACTTTCTCGCCTACTGCAAATGCTGCATCGATTCGTTTGCTGGTAGCATTGGCGTGCAAGTACAACTTGGAATTACTCCACTTTGACATTGAGCAAGCGTTTGTTCAGTCGGAATTGGATCATGAGGTGTTCATGAAGTTGCCTCCTGGCTGCGAGTCGATGTCAGGAAAGGTCGTCCGTTTAGACAAGAGTTTGTATGGACGGAGGCAGGCATCTAGAACGTTTCACAAGTGCCTAGTGTCGGACCTGAAGACAATTGGGTTTGAGCAGTCTCTGTCTGACCCGTGTGTTCTCCGTTTCATAATGGGGGACGAGGTGATGGGTATGGTCGCGATTGATGTGAATGACATTCTGTATGCAGGAAATGAGAGGCTTGCCAAGATGGTTGTGGAAGCGCTAGTTGACTCTCTTCCCACGAAAAATTTGGGCGAGGTCAAGTTCTTTCTTGGTTGCCCATTAGTCGCGGCCGCGAGGCTGGCACGATTGAGATTTCTCAAGAGAGTTACATAAGGAGTGTTCTCGAGAGATTCAGTATTTGTCGCACCAGCTCGATCCCCGCTTCCCCTTCTAACGTTCCCAGGTCCGTGATGGAGGATGAGGAGGCAGGCGTTGTGCCGTTCCGAGAGGTGGTGGGGAGCCTGATGTGGATCGCCAACCAGACGAGGCCCGACATCTCAAATGCTGTGTGGGCAGTGGCGAGGCACTCTCGTGAGCCAAAGAAAAGCCACTGGAAGGCGGCCCAGAAGATTCTGAATTATCTTCTGGAGACGGCACATCAAACTTTGAAGTACAAGCAGGATGATACGGTAGAAGTAGGCACGTTGGTGTACGTAGATGCTGACTTCGCTAGCAAGGCCACTGACCGTAGATCAGTTTCGGGACCATTAGTTCTTGTAGCTGACTGTCCTGTTGCTTGGATTTCTAGGACGCAGAAATGTGTTTCATTGTCAACGTCTGAAGTAGAGTATATTGCGATGGGCGATGGTGTAAAGGAAGCTCTGTTTGTGAACGGAATGCTAGAGTTCTTAAGGTCTAGTGAGAAACTTGGTAAGATTCAGGTACTTGAGGACAACGAGGTTGCGCTTGCTGAGAATCCCCTTAGCTCGTGCAACAGTAAGCACATAGTCTAGACGTAAGGCACCATTTTCTTAGGAATTTGACAGAGGCGGGAGTGTTGGCAGTCAGTCACGTTTCTAGCAAAGAACAGCATGCAGATATCCTGACGAAGGCTTTGCCAAGAAACCTTTTTGAGGTTCATCGTGATTTTGTTCTGGGCTCGAGACCTAACAAGTAAGACAAGTAGAGGTCTGAGTTGCGTTATGGTTTTTGATTTTTCTGATATCTATTTGGTCTGGTCGAGACAACAGTCCAAGGGAGGGTGTTCGAGGTAGCGGCATGTGTATCGACAGAACCGTAAACAGTCTGATTGGATAGTTTGAATGTCGGGACTATCAAGCTGAAGAGTCGCTGTATTGCCATATATCATGAGAATATAGTGGAGTGTTCTTGGTCCTTTCTCTCTGGCCATAGGAATGTTCTTCGTGGATAGTACACTAGCCCGAGGATTTGTGATACGTAGGAAAGTGCATTGGTCCGTTCCATGCATCGGTCCGTGTTCGGTGTATATGCGTGATCGGGCGGATGTACATTCTGTGCTTCGGACATTCTGCCACGCTCACCCCCCCCCTCGTTTTCGTACCCAGCTTGATTGACCTCGTCGTAGTAGGGTAAAACCCTGACTACAACCCACCTGGGGCTCGCGACTCACGACCCTCCTATCCCAGGAGGGATCGGGAGACACCTCCCGGCCTCTTCTTCCTGACTCAGAAACAAAGGTCTGGTATGTAGGCGGATACGCCTGCGTTTCGTCTCGAGGCTGTGCGGCAACCTCTCTTCTTCTCTTGCCGACCCCTCCCCCTTTCTCCCGTCCCTGTGACGATCGGCTACATCACCATGACGATCGACTACATCCAGCCAGTGGACCCGCGCCGCCTCGCCCAGGCGAAGACTTTTGCTGATGGCGCCCTGTTCTCGGATTGGGAGGTCGTCGCATGCCCCAAGGACCCTGCTACAGGCCTGCAGGAGCTCGACCTCTCTCGGGTGGTGTGTATGGCGGGCTCCAGAACTTGGGAAGGCCTGCGTCAAATTGACTTGCCGGGCTTGTCATCCGGCCTGTTTCGCATGATCAGCGACCAGACATCGCCGGGGAAGCCGGACCTTCTCCTGGGCGTGATGGGCACGGGGATGCAAGCCGGTAAGGAGGTCGCAAAGTCGCCCGAGTAAATTCTTCTCCAGACCAAGCGCGCGCTGCTGGATGCCACGGCGAAGTATCTCTTCACCTGCCCCACTCACGCGGGGATTATGCACACTGAATGTGGGTCCTACGTAATTTTTGGAAAAGACGAGCATCGAACATCGAACAAGCGGATAGTTCGATGTTCGACTTTTCGGGTCCATTGAAATTTGCAAAAAAGCGTGAAAAAATATCCCACACACACACGTTTTTGCTTTCAACAGCCCGCGGGGTTGTTGGACCACGCCCGGAAAACCCAAGGGCACTAGACTCTCGAAAAGATACGAGTGTCGAGGAACAGGGACGGCGCCAGGAGGAGGAGCACCAGAAGCAGCCCCGCCAGCAAAAACAGCACGGGTGATAGTAGCTAGCGCTCGAAGCCGCGGGGTGTGGAACCCCGGCATCCCTGCGGCCTGATGCCCACATGCATTGCTTCGGGACCCTGCCGACTCACACCAACACTGCTGCTGCTGCTGCTGCTTGGCTGTCCAGCAATGCTGTGTGGTTGCAACGGGAAGGAACTCCCGTGTGATTAACCTCACACCTGGCCCCGCTTGTGCACGCGGGGCCCTGAGATCCAGCGCAAACTCGTCGTCGCTCTGTGCAGACATGGGTATTGCTGTTGCTGTCCTGCAGACCTCTCTGTCGTTCTCCCTCTCCCCAGGATTGTGTTTTTTGGTGGTGTGTGTTGGGTGCACGTGCGTGATGCATGTGTGCGGGTTTTCTTTCTTGTCGACAGTTCGGTCCCAATAGTCCACGGGACTGTAGGTTAGGTATAGGTTTCGAGTTTTTGTGAAAATATGTTAGAGTTTGTGGCGGAATCGCCCCTGGAAGATCCGGCGTACAAAAACTCGAAAACCCTAACATCTCTGTGGTGCAATCGGGCCGCTTTTTTTGGAATTGTGGAATTACCGGGTAACTACGGTTAAAAGTGTGGTATGGAACAGGGCTGGTGTAAACTGAGTGCAGCCAAGCGTACTACTTGGAAAGAGAGCAGGTGGAAAAGCGCGGGAAATGTTTGAAAGTATACTGAACTATCGGGAGGTTGTGAGGCGGATCGGTATATTCATCGGGAAACAAGTTTGAGAGATTTGACAGGTCTTTTGAGAGGATTGGATAGAATCTTAGATTCTCGGAATGCAAGAATGGACTGTCAGCAGAGTTGCGTTGAGAGTAGGATTTTGAGAATTTGTGGACATGTGTGTGGACGAAGAGACACCCACAAGTGGTCAGTCTGATCCACCAGAAGTCTTCTCCCTTGTTGTCCCGATATGGTCAGAACTTCAAATAACACGACACTTGATCGCAGCTCTACTGGACTTACAACATTACCACGACAAGAACCTTGGCATCAACACAAATACGTACGCGGTGGGTAGCGCACCCCGATCTCCCGATACTGGCACCGAAGGAGGGGCTTGTACTGGCCGTCTTGCGCTGTGGTGTGGTGTGGTTGCGATGACCAATACACCGAGGCAAAAAGGTGAGAAAGACAAGGAGGAAGAGGGAGGGAAGAGTGACTCACCGAAGAGTCATGGAATGACTTTGAGGAGGACAACGCGCAATATGACGCGGCGTAGTGCAGAGGGCAGGGAAAAGAGGAGGATGGATGAGAGCACAACTGCTGTGAGCAGAGGGGATGGGGGGAAGGGTACGCTCACACGCTCCCGAGGGGACGAGTGGGGGGTGGAATCGGAGGAGGGTTCGATCGACGTGTCAGAAGAAAGATACAAGGAAAAACAGAAAGAAGGGCAAAAAGGAGGAACAAAAGATGGGCACAAAGAAGGGAAGACAGATGGGCACAAAGGAGGAAAGGTTGAACAAGGAGACGGAAGGAGAAAAGGAGGACATGGGCAGTGAACCACCCCGGGCGAGTAGGGAGGAGGATATCCGCGAGACGGACCGGAGGTTTAGCATAAAGGGGGCGGACCCAAGAGATATGATACAGCAGATGTCTGGGTCTGAAAATAATCCGACGATTTCCGCTCCGTCGATTCCTCCGTATACCAACGTAGCTCCGGTGGCAGCTTCAGCCAACAAAGGCAAAGCCAAGGCCAAGGTCAAGGAAGGGAAGGTGTCGTCTGTCGTGCAAGTGGTCAAGTATGACGGAGAGAAGGAGGAGGTCTCTGGTGGTTCTGAGGAGGTGAGAAAGGGCAAGGGACCTGAGCCTGTCACTCAGCCTCGTGAGGAGGAAGATTTCATGTCACGAATGCAGTCTTTCATGGCAAGTTTGTCATTTGAAGAAAAACAACGATTTGTCGGGGTGCCCACTAGAGGGGAACGAATTGAGATGCAATAAGGAGCACGTGCTGCCCCGAGACCTGACGAAAACATGGAGTGCCTTTACCATAGAAAGACTTCAGAGCAATTGCAACAAGAACTCGATGATGAGGGGTTGGCCATGGACATGCAGGAACAGGAGGTGGCAGAAGCGAAAGAAAGAAAGAGAATAGGAAAAAAAAGGAAACAGAAGGAGGAGGAGAGAAAGAAAAGAAAAGCGGATTTGCGCCTCGCCCTTGAACCACAAGACAACAACAGCAGTGGATTTGAGGAGGAAGAGGTAGTATCTCTAACAGAAACCGAAGAGGAAAAGAGGGTAGGAGGCCTTGACAAGGAATGGCCACCCTTGCAGTCGTCTAATCGGTTTGAGGCTTTGCAGTCGCCCACACAGTCAGAGTCTTCGGCCCCTTGGGTCACGGTCGCGCGTCAAAAACCGAGGAAATCACGGGCGCAAGAACATTTCTCGCACCCGCCCCAGCAGGTCCCTTTGACTGAATACCAAAAGGCGGCACGCACGGCAGCAGAGACACAGGCTCGGTTCTTGGAATCGAGTAACCGGTTGCACCAAGTTAAGGAAGACGCTAGGCTAGCGCGCGCGGCTAGGGAGATACATAAAAAGGAGAAAGACAGGATTGCGGCCGAATTCGAAGAACGGCATGATGTTCTCGCGGAGGAGGAAAATATCGCNCGCAAGAACATTTCTCGCACCCGCCCCAGCAGGTCCCTTTGACTGAATACCAAATGGCGGCACGCACGGCAGCAGAGACACAGGCTCGGTTCTTGGAATCGAGTAACCGGTTGCACCAAGTTAAGGAAGACGCTAGGCTAGCGCGCGCGGCTAGGGAGATACATAAAAAGGAGAAAGACAGGATTGCGGCCGAATTCGAAGAACGGCATGATGTTCTCGCGGAGGAGGAAAATATCGCGGTAGGCCGAGTTCAGTCAGCAGAAAAGGAGGAGGAAGAGGCCAAGGAGAAATAAGATAAAGCCCGAATGGTGTACCAAGTGGCACGGTAGCAGAGAAAATGCCAGAAGACAAGTACAAAGCTCACGACAACAAGACTGATCACCTCAAAGCATACACAGCTACAAGGCAGACGATGAACGATAGCTGGCAAGGTAAAGAGGCCAGATGTGTTGAAACAGCACAGGCGGTGAGGGACCAAGAGAGAGTAGTAAGAGGCCTCAGGAAAATAAAAGAGGATGCACTTGAGATGAAAAACAAGCTCGGGGCAAAGTCGGGGGAGTCCCCACCTCTCAAGCCACTGGCGCCATCCTCATTAAAACAGAGGGATGAAGCAGCCGACCAAAAGAAGGTTGAGAAAAAGCAGGCTCTGAACAAGAAAGAAGAGAGGAAGGAGTGCCAAATTCCAAAGAAACCGAGCGTGAAGGAGGCTGAACTGATGAAAAGGGTAGCCGAGATCGTCGCGAGCTCGCCTGGTTTAGACACGCGGTCGGTAACTGCCCAAGTCATGGCAGACATGGGAATCGAACAGGAAGACTCTGAGGAAAATTCTGTCGAAGTAAAGGAAGAAGAGGTGGAGCAGAGACCCACAAGGAGAATTATTGGGGGGTCGGGCACTCTCGAAGTGAATTCAGAAGATACTCGGACGATCTTTGGTGCTAGTTCCCCTGGCTCGGTGTCATCTAGCCAAAGCTTTAGTAGCAGCAGGAGCAGGGGTGGCAGAGGGGGTGGAAGGGGAGGAGGTGGAAGGGGAAGAAGGGGAAGGGGAAGGTTCTCTCCCAGGGGCAAGGGAAGGGAGCAAGGACACTTTCAGAGAGGAGGATACAGGGAAAGGAATGAAGGATGGATGGGACAAGGAGGAATGGATGGTGGAATGGGAGGTGGAATGGGAGGTGGATTTGGTGGAGGTGGGTCGGGGGAGTACCCGGTCCAGGGATACCAAGGTGGATACCAGGGAGGTCCGCCCCAAGGAATGATGTACCCTCAAGGACCATTCCACACACCCCAAGGACAGCCGCCGCCGCACTGGCAAAATGNATTCCACCCACCCCAGGGACCGCCGCCGCCGCACTGGCAAAATGGCAGGTATGTCGACAGCTATGGATATGAATATGGCATTCCGATGTATGCGGCAAAACCAGCAGACAAAAGGAACATGGAGGCGAGAGAAATAAACTCTGATATGGAACAACCTCCTATGGTGGAAGCAACAAAATTGCCTCCTGTGGTCACTTTCACAAGGGTGGAGTCTCCGAGGGCAGTAGAAGCCCCAGTGACAGCAGCGGTTACCCCAGCGTTGATAGACGCGCCTCATACTGTGCAGCAGAGCGTGACAGAAACCATCCTCTGTACCTAACAGCGCAGTGGAGCTAGAGAATTCAACGGAGGCAAAAGAAGAAAGTTCTGATGACGAAAGATGTGGAGACCACCTTCATAAAGGTTGAAACTCCCCAAGCGTCTGTCGAGGACGAAACCCTCTTTTTCACAAAGACTATCAAAAGAACAAGTGACGGCAATCAGACAAAAATATGCCACGTATTCCACAGCTAATTTGATGAGGTTGCAGCTTTTAGCTGGCCAGCGCATGAGTGTTGCTGAAACTGTTCCCTTGTCATCCACTCTGGTTAAAAACGTGGAAGAATTGAGGTTGGGGGCAGGAGATAATTCGAAATCGTCAGATTGGGTGCGAGGATGGGACATTGCGCTAGAAAACCATGTATTGAATTCCGTGTCTTCGCGCCTTCCTAACGCGCAGGGGTTAGATCTAAAGGCGAAGATCACCTCGTCCTTCAGCCAAACCAGGCAACGGTTGGACAATGGGATGGCAGGAAGAGAAGCGCTCACCTTTTTGGTGAGGGTGCTCACCCGGACGCTTAGCATGGCGACGCCGCAACATGTGGTGTTTGCTTTGCAGAACTTGGAGGAAGTGGATGCAAGGAACACTTTCAGAATATATGAATACTTTAAGAGCCTTGATGCAGAATGCTATGAGTGTCGGCCATGAGAGTGCGCAAGAAAATGTGTTGCGGCTAGCAGTGCGTGACAGTGTCTGCGACCAATATAGTAATATCGCGGTGGATGTACTTAAGGGGAGAGACCTGATGGCTGTACCGTATGACAGTATTCGGGACTTGATGGATGCACTAGAAGTTTTGGCATGGAATACGACTGAAGCTACGGCGGCGGTGAAACGAAATGTCATAGGTGTGCAAACAAAAAGGGCGGGACAAGGGGGAGGGAATGCTTGCGCAGGAACGACGTCTTATGCGAGTGCAGCTAGCGCAGGAAGGATGTATGGCAAACAGCCCTCTCAGGGGGCAAGAGTAATGAATATTCATGAGGAAATGGAAGATGAAGAACAAGAACTAAAAAAAGTGCATTACGCGGCGACAAAATGGGAAAAAGGGAAGGGTGATGAATTTTACATCCCTTTCTATACGCGGTTTGACAGCCGAAAAGAACAAGATGAGGCAAGACA